TTAGCCTGGTGTAAAACCCACGAGAACGGTGCCTCAGGCCCACCCAGCCTGCCTGCAAGAGAGCAGCAATGCAAACATGCTGCTAAGAGCTTCATGGCCAGGCTTGGGGAAGAGCAGCGGAGGGGAAGGACACCTCCAGTCTGGCTAATGTGCCTGCAGCACGCACGGAGAGGGACGGGGGTGGGTATAACTGAGCTCTGTGACCCCATGACTGGTGTTGCAAAAGTGACTAGGGAGGGGTTCGTTACCTCGTCACTTACCACATGAACGTGTCATCGCTTTGCTAAGCTGACTATTCCCAGTCTTTTTAATTGCTCTGCCTACGGCAGCTGTGCCCTGCCCTAAGCACTGGTATCAGCCGGTGTTGTGCCTTTTCCAGTTCTAACACAGTGTGACCAGGCCGGCAGGTAGTTGTCAAGGTGTGGGCCTACCATGGTTTTATATCGTGGCAGCACACTCGTGTCTGGTTTTAGTCACTGGCTCTTTCCTAATGGGGCCTAACTTTGTGTTAGCGGGTTTGCCTGCTGCTCACCAGTGGATGTGTTCAGGAAATGCTCCCCGCTGACTCCAAGCACTCTGGATAGTTGGGATTAGTTTTTCCAGCATGCATTATTTTGCATTTAGCTACGCTTAAGTTCAGCTGCCATTTTTCTGTTGCCCAATCACCCACTTGCGTGAAAGCTCAGTTTTGGACTTAACTATCTTGAGTAATTGTCTATCGGCTATAAATTTTGCCACTTTACACCTTTTCCCAGTCCATTTACAAATATGTTGAACAGCACAGGTCCCAGTACAGCTCCGGGGGGGTGAGGGGGAACACCTTTATTTATCGCTCTCCATTGTGAACACTGACCATTTATTTATACCCTTTGTTTCCTAGCATCTAACAAGTTACTGAGCCATGACAGACCTTCCCTCTCATCCCATGACAGCTTACTTTGCTTAAGTGCCTTTGGTGAGAGACCTCATCAAAGGCTTTCTGAAAATCCAAATACACTAGATCACCCGGCTCATCTTTGTCCATGTGCTTACTGACTCCCTCAAAGTCGTCTAGTAGATTGGTGAGGCATGATTTTCCCCTTACAAAAACAGTGTTGACGCTGCTTCAGCATAGTGTGGTCATTTATGTAGGTGATGGTTTTGTTCTTTAATAAAATGTCTCCTAATTTAACTGGTACTGAAGTTAGACTTACCAGTCTCTAACTGCCAGGATTGCCTCTGGAGCCCTTTTTTAAAACTCAGCATTTTATTAGCTAGCTGCCAGTTGTTTGGTACATGTGGTTTAAGTGACAGGTTACATGCCACAGTTATTCTGCAATTTCATAGATGAGTTCCTTCAAAACTCTTGAGTGAATTCCCTCTGGGCCTGGTGATGTACTACTGTTTAGTTTGGCAATTTGTTCCAAAACTACTTCTACTAGCACCTCTAGTCGAGCCAGTTCCTCAGACCTGGAACTAAAAACAATGGCTCAGGTGGTGATTCCCCCTGCCCACCCCATCGCTTCTACAGTGAAGCCTGCTGCAAATAATTATTTGTTGTCCTTAGCAAATTGCTGTTCACATTCTTTCCTAGCCTGCCTAATTATACTTTAACACTTGACTTGCCAGAGTTTATGCTCCTTTCTATTTTCCTCAGTAGGATTTGACTTCGTTTTTTAAAGGATGCCTTTTTGCCCCAAACTGTCTGTTGTATTCTGTTTAGCCAGCGCGCCATTTTTTCTGTCCTCTTATTTGCGGTATACATTTAGTTTGAGCCTCTAGTGTGGTGGTTTTAAATAGGCTCCATTCAGTTTGCAGGCATTTCACCCGTGTACCTATTCCTTTTAATTTGCATTTTACTGACTTGTGCAGTTCCTCTTTTTGAAGTTAAATGCTACTGTAGTAGGTTTGTTTTATATGTTACCCTATACAATGATGTCACATTTAATTACATTATGATCACTATTAAGTTGTTCAGCTATATTCAACTCTCAGACCAGATCCTGTGCTCCACTTAGGACTAAATCAAGAATAGCCTCTTCCCCTGTGGGTTCCAGGACTAGCTGCTCCAAGAAGCAGTCATTAATGGGGTCTAGACCTTTTTTCCCCTCTGTATCCAGTCTTGAGGTGACATGTTCCTACTCAATAGGGGAAATCCCCAGCTATTACTGTTTTGTAACCTCTAATTTTTTTGAGCATTTCACAATCATCAGTCTCGTCAGATGGTCAGCAATATATTCCTATTGCTCTGCTCTAATTGTTCAAGCCTGGGCTGTCTCTCCCTAGAAATTCATTTGTCATTTAACTCTCTGCTTTCTTTCCCATATAGTAGCACTCCTCTACTAGCACTCCCTACTGTCATTCTGACCTATTTTGTACTGCTATTACCCTGTCTCATGGATTTCCCTCATTGCACCAGGTTTCAGCAATGCCTATTATATCAATAGCCTCATTTAATGCCAAGCTCTATCTTAATATTTAGACTGCTGGCATTTGTACAGCATGTCAATAGTGACTTGCTTATCTCCATGTTATATTTAAATGGACTCTTTTTTGGTTAACTGTCCCTCACTAGCACCTACCTGTCTTTATCTTAGTAAAGAGGATTGGAAAAAGTTGGTAGAGTTCCCTTTTAATAAATCCTCCACTCAGAGATGTCTCTATGTAACCCATTCACTCCTCTGCACGTGTCCGGTTTCCCTTAGCCCTTAGTTTAAAAACTCCTCTATGACCTTTGTAATTGTACATGACAATACTCCTCTTTTGTACACCATTGGCTCATCCACATATTGGAATCCTGGTCCTCATGGATAGAACACTGGATTCAGGAGACATGGCGCTGCCACTGACCTTCACCTGGCTCTGCCTCAGTTTCCCCATCTGTAAAACAGGGATGATATTGACCTCTGTTGCAAAGTGCTTTGAAATCTGCTGCTGGAAAGCACTGTGTAAGAGGAGTAGGAAACAGACAGTGCTGTTGAAAACGTATTTATTTTTCTCCAAATGATCTCTCAGGCAATAAATAAAAACAAACATGTCAACTTTCTAAAAAACACATACATATGTACATCTGACACACCTACAGACATCTGTAGCAAGAGGACCACTGTGAGTGAGGGGGCTGGGCCCAGAAATTATTGCATTGCTCTCTGGATTTTATCCAAAGCTGCCTCCTTGCTGTACCCTTGGAGAAGCATCTGTGGCCACCTTGGTCAGAGAGGGCAGCCAGCTGGACAGATACTGGGCAAACATCAAAAGCAAGGATGCTCTCCTATGGTGGGCCACGGTATTTTGTTACTTAAAGTGCAGGACAAAAGATCAGCGGCCATTTGAGGAGCCGGTGCTAAAGCAAATAACGCACCCTCATGTGTGTGTGCCCAGACAGCAGTGAGACTGTGGGACCAGGGGAGCATTGAGGCCAGGCCACCCATACCCAAATGGGCTGAAGATAGGGCACCACCAGCTGGAGCTGCCATCTTGTGGATAAAGTGTTAACCTGAGGTCTTGCTTGTTTGGGGCCCATGCTCAGTGAAGACCTCCCGGGAGCAGGAAAGGCCTGGTGATGGGAAGCCTCCCCTGCCAGGTAGAGCTGTCCCTGAAAGTCAATACCTGCTGTGATGCCAAGGGGTTAACACCTGTCTCTCCCCCCCGATGGCACCGGCACCAAGCTCCACTTCTCTCTCTGCCCTGCTACAGTGGCCTGGACTAGGGAATCAGTATTAAGTGCTCACTGCACACAGCACTGTCAGCCACTCACCCCTGAGCTCCAGCGTTAGCTGGCTGCCCCACAGGTGCTGAGGGCAAGGTGCTCACCTCTACCACACTCCACCTGGAAGAAACTGCAAAGATGACAGAGACCCAGTGACACAACAGGTCCAGCTAGGTTTGAATGGTTTCTTGCTCTTGGTAAACAGTGTATTCAAACAGATATGGGCATAGATTCCCTCCCTACAAACACTAAATACAGTAAGGTTTCAGAGTAGCAGCCGTGTTAGTCTGTATCCGCAAAAAGAAGAACAGGAGGACTTGTGGCACAGTCTCTAAGGTGCCACAAGTCCTCCTGTTCTTCTTTTTACTAAATACAGTAGTTAAAAAAAAAAAGAAAAGGGAAGGTGATGGCAGTTTTGAACCCTGCTCCCAGGGAAGAGGTTACAGACTACATGGTGTATTTGCATTAACAGCAGAATTATGAGAAATGCAATTTTGCTCAATGCTAACTGCAGGCTAGTGAGAGTGCTTGGTCTTTTAATTGATCAGATCACGGAGGCCTTGGCTTGGGGAGGAGTTACCATTTTGGTGTGGCACATACAAAGGGACACATTTTCCAAAACCCAAAACTATGACTGCAAGACATTGGCACATGCAAAAGTCAAAGCCGCTGGAATGTGCAAGTACCCAATGTTGACTGGAGCTCAGAGGTGCAGCTTAGCTGCCTATGTTGAACATTTGAGCCGAACTTTCATTTAACAGACTGGTTTTTAATGCAAGGATGAATGTTCTACTTCCCCTGATTGGGCACTGAGAGTTTATTCCTTTAATGGGTAATTTTAGCACATTCCAACCCAGGCTGAGTCAGGGGCCAAGCTGGTATTTAAGGGGGGCTGAAAGAAGAGAAACCTCTGCTCAGAAAGGGTTGGTGGGGGCATTATTGAGATACCATTTTGGCAAACATTATTGCTTCCTTCTGTCATAAGCAGCCCACCACAGGGCAGAACAGTCAGCTTGTCCAGCAGTATTTAGGTCTGGGGAACTGATGGTTCTCAGCTGTGCAACTGCTCTGGGGAGAGTTTCAAACAGAACTAAGGGACAAATCCCATGGAGAAATCAACACTGCTAGAAAGGCAAGGGAAGATCTGTCAGCAGTGAAAAGTGTCTGTCCCCAAGTGGCCAGAATGGTCCAACAGCCCAGACACAGCAGAGGAAATCGCTCCATTAGCTGCTGCTTTGTTTTTTATTTCAATCATCTGCGCTGGAAAATTGGGCTTGCTGCCTTGGACCCCATGGTTGTCTCTACACCACCCAACAGAAATAAAACCCAGACTTGTGGCTCAGAGTTCCCAGGTTTCAGAGCCCAGGCTCCAGCCCAAGCTAGAATATCTACACAGTTGTTCATACCTCCCAGACCAAGCCCAATTCAGCTGACCCAAGCTCTGAGATTTGCTGCTGCAGGGTTCCTGGGGTTTTTTTTGGGCAGTGTAGACATACCTTGTTAGCCCCAGATTTCAGTAAAATAAATGGGAGTTGTGCCAAGGGGACCAGGATCTGCATGCAGCTAGAGTGACACTAGGGACATTGACAAGGGGACAAAAAGCTAGTAACCACTTTACCAGCAAATGCAGTCTCAGGCAGGATAGAGTCTTAGTAGAGCTGGATTCATTCCTGCCCATGAGTCCAGGTTTAGAGCAGGGCATTGCAGACTCATGGCTTTAAATGATGGGTGCCCACTGACTGACACCATCCACACCCAACTGTACTGTACATTCAGAGTGGGAAAGGCCTCCTGCATCCACAGACAGGACAGTGACCCTGCCCTGCCAGAGCTGCCAAGTTTCTTCCCTAATGGAGAAAGAACACTGCTCTAGTGGAGAAAAAGGCTATTCTGATTTGGGGGAATAACATTGTTGAGGCAACCAGAGCAGCACCCTACTGTCACTGATGCTTATGAATTACTGATCACCATAGCATGCCATGGTCCCAAGCTCCCAGCATGGCACTGTTACCTTATATCTTCAGAGGCTGGATCCCAAGAAAGCATCCAGGAGCCTCAGCACAGAGTCCCCATCAGCTCATGCCAAGATGAACACAATGTTCCAGGAGGAGTGTGAAGAGTGCAAAGCATGTGTACAAGTATTGGCCATGCCCAAGTAAAGAAACCACCCCTTTTCTGATGCAAGATACAAGCAGGGCTAGGAAGGAGACAGGATACTACCCGTATGAACTACCCACTATGCACAGAGATTGTTCCTTGGATGGAAGAGTCCATGGTGCAGTGACTGAGTGATTTGAACTCACTTGTGTCCAGCCTGGAAATGCACATGTTAATCCCTGTCCCCCCCGACACAGGAGAATGGTACAGTATCCCCACGCTTTTCCTTGCAGGTGTGTGATAAGATGACTTGTTCTCTAGCTGCTTTGAGACCTGCATGCTGTTGTGCTCATAGTTAAAACATAAATAGGTTATAGAATCACTGACAGCACAAATGTTGCATTTCAATACTCAGAGGAAAGCACTGCAATAAATCTCAGTCTCAAACTTTGTTTTTAGCAAGTCCATGTTTTAAAACCAGAAGTCTCCTGCCCAGGTTAAAAATATTTCTGCTGGGTGTTTGTTTTGGGGGATTTTATTAAAGAAATATTAATGAAAAAAATCAAAACCAGGCACTTTGGGAAATTGTAATTTTCTCCCCCAAAACGAAACTGGTCAGACACATTGTCAGGATTTGTGGAATTCACAACTTCAAGCCTTACTGCTTTAAAAGAAAAAAAATAAATAAATAAAAAAATGAGGTAAGAAGTTTCTCTATGAAAACAAGGACCCCTACAGGCAGCTTGAAGCCAGCAGCAGACCAACCGTTATTGCTTGGTGTCAAGGTGAGAGTGGTGGGGCTGGCTAGCGATGCCAGTCAGTTATTGCAGTCTCATGGCTGGCAACAGCTGTGAGGTCAGCATCCCTTGTGCTGGAGGCACTGCCCCAGTGCCTTAATTAGTGCCAGGCACTAACAGCTGGGTGAGGTGGTGATGGGGCTGTGCAGGTAGGGGATGCTGCTGGGGGTCGTGTGCATGCCCACGGAGACCGGGAAGCTGAACACAAACTGGGAGGTTGGCGTGGAGGAGGCCTTGCCCCGTTCTCTCAGCGTCCCCGAGGGGCTGGCAGCCTCGGCAGCACAGGAGGTTGCCAGTACTTGGGACTCAAACTGCAGCAGCTGACCCATGAAACTGAAGTTGGGGGAGATGATGCTCCTGCGCTGTTTGACAAACTCGAAGGCCTCCTCTAGCTTCACACGCTTCTTCATCATCAGGTAGGCCAAGCAGATGGTGGCAGAGCGGGAGATGCCAGCCTGGCAGTGCACCAGTACCCGGCCATGGCAGTCCTTCACCAAGTCTGGGGGTGAGAAGGGAGGAGGTGTGAATAGCTCATCCTGCTCACACGGACAGCTCAAGAGCCTCCCCTGCTGACAAGGGGCCACTGACACCATAGACAGGAGTTGTCAACAGACCAGGCCACAGGAATAGGGCGTCTGTAGGGAGCAGCAGCCACAGCCCTGCTGGTGATGGGGGAGCAGGGTCACAAGCTCCAGACAGCTGCTTGCCATTGGGCACTGCTGGCCGAGGTCTGAGCACTCATCCCTCTGGAAAGCAGGCCCCAGAACTGGGCCACAGCAGGCACCCAAAGTGAGTGGGTGCTTTAGGGGAGCCTTTCCAAACCAGTGTTCAACAGACAGTGGGGCCTGCCCCACTGTTGAGCCACGGGAAGGTTCTAGATAGGACACGGAGCCCTGGGCAAATGTACACTTCTCCTGGCCCAGAGGGGAAGCCCCTGGGAGAGAATAAGCCAGCCCTCCCCGCACCTCAGTATCTGTCTTCCTCCACAACCACCACACAGCTTCCAGGCTTAGCCATTAGAGCACACATACCTATATACTCTATTGCTTCCATGAACCAGGAGCTGATGTCGGCCTTGTGGTTATCCTCCACTGGGATGCACTTGTACTGATAGTGTCCTTCGAAGTGATTGGGACAGTCCGACGAGACGTTCAAGAGGGCTGTGATGCCCAGTGTGTCCAGCATGTCCCTCCGGGCTGCGTGATACGCACTGCCAAGGTAGAGGAAGGGAAGGATTTCGACTGGGCCTCCCTGTTTCCGGAGAGAGCAACACAAAGGTCACTGTTAGAGGGGAACATGGCTGGGAGGCCAGGGGAGAACATCACAGGCAAAAGGGGAAGGAGGCTGGGAGCAGCTACCAGCAAAAGCCAGCAGAGCCTGCATCTTCAAGAGTGACGCAGGATTCGGGGAATCATCTGTTTGAGTGGCCTACTTGGGGCCCTTTGAAGGGGCCTGGTTCCCAGGGTCTCATGTCAGGCCACTAAAAACAGAGACATGCAAAAATCACTGAGCTTCTGGAAATGTAGGCTTTGGCACCCAGTGGGCAAATAAAACCCTCCAGCTCTGGTGTGAATCCCAAGCATCTCCACTGAAGCCAGAGTCACTCTTGGTTCAGGCCCATGTAACAGCAGACCGCACACAGCCATAACAGACTAGTCTCCAGAGCGGCACCCATTACAGCAGGCCTTCCCAAATGGGTTACCTGCTCAACCCTGTTGGAATGGATTGTTTCTTCCCAGGAGCCTAGACAGCATGGGGGACACCCTTTGGAAGAGCAAAATGGTGTCCTGTGCACAGCACGATCTCACATGCACTGTACATGTGAGGTCATGCGATGTGGCTCACAAGTGATGAGCCAGGAGATGGTGGTTTAGGCTCTTTTGTAGAGACCCCCGCCCTGCTCAGGGTGGTATAAATTTCACAGCATGTGGGAAAACGCTTTAAAACACTGTGCCAAGGTCAGTGTGCATAGTGCTCAGAGCAGGGCTGAAGGACAGGGAAGCTACCTGATCATGCAGGGGGGTCCCACAGGAGCTGCACCCTAGTTCGATTGGCTCCATGCTGGTTGGTGGAGAAATGCTGCTCAGGGATTTTGTTTTTGCACAGAATTCTGGGTACTCCGAATAAAACCTCTCGTAACCTCCTGCAATTAAAGAGACAGGCATGAAGGGTCACCCTGGAAAAGTGATTTCATTAGACAAATCTGTCTGCAGAAGGCAGCCTGCATTCCCTGCCAACCTACAGATCCCAAGGGCTGACAGAACGCAGACACACGGCCGAGCTGCTGCAAAACAGCTCTACATTTGCCACTAGATGTCACTGCTGCAAGGAAACTGCTGCGGGGGATGGCATCAGTCATTTCTAGTCTCCATCTCATTGTACCTGGCTCTCGGGGCAATGCTACCAGTGCACAGGGACGGGGAGGGGTTGCCTAGGACTGCTAGACTACCTGAGGAACATGGCACGTCACCTTAAGGAGCCATTCTGAGCTACTGACCCCACAAGGGGCTATGCTTTGCCCCTCCTCTGGGCTCCCAAGGAGGCATCAGCAGCTCCAGGAAAACCACTGAGACAAGAGCATTACAGCAGCTCAGCACTTCCCAGGATTGGGCCCTTGGCTCCCAAAGTCCCTGCCCAGGGCTAGCTTTTCCCAACCGAGTGGCCCTTGTGATCAGCAGACAGCATCTCACTTGAAATCCTGCAGCCAAGGGGTGGGGTGAGCACTGTGTCATCAATACACTTCTCTTCTCAGTGACACGTGCGTTCCCATCACCCAGCAGAGGAGAGACCCACTCGTTTCTTCCTGTCTGTCACAGCATACCTCCTCCCCACACTGAAGCTACATAATAACCACTGGGCTGGTAAAATCCAGCCCCTTGTCAGCATTTCTATAATTCACGTAAATAACAGAAGCGCCATCCTGGTACCCACGCTGGGCTCAGACCATTGCAAGCCCCCAGTGCACACAGGGAAGTTGCCATTGACACTGGTTGATTGCTGTCCCATCCCCACCCTGCAGGGACAGAGATAATTGGTCCTCTCCTGGTCTCCTTGCACTAGTGACACTACACTAGTGGCAGTTATCAGGGCAATCCCTAGTACAGAATCGGTCTTGGATTATTCCATTTTGTGGGTTGCAGCACCATGGCAAGCCAACGCTGACCTGCTCCCACTGAGGTCAGTGACACAGGATGGGGCTCTATGTGAGTGTGGGTACATGCACTCAAAGGGCAACATTCCCAGGGACTCACAAGACTGCCCTTGCCATGCATGCAGCATGAGAAGACACATGCCCAGTAGCCTTGCTGCAGGAAGGGCCCCAGTCTGCTGTTACATGCCAGAGAGTTCCCTGCAGCAGAGCTGTGTCCAAGGCACAGCTGGGCACAAACTCATTTCTGATCCAGCTTTAGTCCAGGGTCTGATTTGCAGACCCTGCCAACGCCATCATTCACACCCTCTGCACAAGCCTGGCCTCTAGTATCTGCCCCCTCCCCCCCCCAAACACAAAAATCCCACATGGGGCAGTTCTAATCTGATCCCCATGGCTGCACTGCACTCCACATGGTTACAGCAGCATAACACCAGGGATGGACCAGAACCGGATGTCAACCAACCTTGTGTCACAACCTCTGTTCTGAAGGGATGGTTTTTGTGGGCCTGCAATTTATACTGCAGAAGTTCTGCACCAGTGGAGCATGACCCCAACCCTTCCAAAGGGTATCACTGTGTCTGAAAGAGGGTCACAACGTGAGGTCAGCACGGGGCTGAGAATCTCTGGTATAGGGCATTAGTAGCCAACTGTGGCCACAGTAGTAGCCTGTCTAACCCTCCCCACCAGTTGGGGAAGGGGTGGGGCAGACTCAGTGCTCATTTATCAATCATCACTCTTAATTATTCATACTGCAGCAGTGCCCAGAGTCCCCAGTAGTGCTAGGTACTGTACATACACATAAATACAGCCCCTGCCCCATCAAGGTGACAAATCCAGATTTCACATCTCATTTATAATTTCATTTTGCTTAAAGAAATTTGCCCAAATGCAAGTATAGCTCTGGGAAGTGGTTAGGAGCAAACTAGCACCTTCACTCTCTCAGGGCTGCTAGAATCTTTCCCCAGGTTGCTGTGTCTTCAGGCTGAAAAATCCTGTTGATCAGTTAAGTATCTTTTAGCTTGGAAGGGGGCAGGGAAGCAAGATTTTGCCAGAGTAGATAATAGGAGAATGTCCTGCCATCCTTATCTGCTCAAGCTCCCAAAAGAAAGAAAGACCTCGTGAAGGCAACTGTTCTGAGTTGTTTATACCAAGGGGAAAAAAAAACTGACAGTTTTGAAGGGCAAAAAACTAACATCTTCAAAGGCGTCATACTCCAGAGACTGAAAAGCTAGCTGGACAGAGTGCCGGAGTAAAACAGTTGAGTGCTAGTTCAAGTGATAATGGAGAGTAGAAAACAGGTTAGTGCCAGCTTTCAAAATTAAACGGGTGGGGCCACGACTGGGTAGTTTCTGTGTCACTGTCTAAAGGAGGCTACATTTGCAATGTCTGAGACTTCTCTTTTCAAGCTACATTGGCCTGCTACTCTCTTCCCATTTACACTTTTCACTCTTGTTCCAGCCTCTTGGAAATGGGACCACGTTGGAGTTAAGGTTTTTATCTTGGACTTGGGGTGGAAAGTACAAAACCAAATAAACTCACAACCCTGTGCTTAGCACCAGATCTAACAAGAGTTATATGAATGACTAGGGAGGTGGGAGGAGGGGAAAAAACAAAAAACCCCAGACTGTTTACTTTGCATCTCATGCAATAATTTACACTTGTGTGAAGCAACTGAAATTCACCTGGTGTAGTCACTTACACCTATGCAAGTTAGGTTTGTTACCAGATCAGGATGATTTTACATGGTGGGGGAAATGAGATGCTTATTGTCAATAAGCGCTGGATCTTTGCTGCTCTATGTCAGCACAAGTCTTGTTCATGCCCTTTCCCCACACTGCAGTCTTTTCTCTGCTCAAAACAGCTTTTAAAATTAACACTTGGCCCAGTTCCCCCATGCCTTGCAGTTTATGGAATCAGACAGACAATGCTTATCCCTGTGAGCAAGGGTTTGCTGTATCACACTTACATATATTAAAAAACCACACAAACACAGATCTGATGATGCTGTGGAAACAGCTTGTTGGTTTTCATAATTGTTCATATGATTTTCAATCACAGATGGCTTCATATTTTCCTACCAACAGACAAAACAGAACTGTTATTGATTGGCTCTCTAGTGCAGGGAATCTCAACGTCATCTGTTTACCTCCAGGGATATTTCTCTTTTAAACACTAGTGATCTTTGAGTCCTTGTAAATGTTGACCTCTGTTTAAAAATCCATATTGTGCATGTAATTAAGCTGTTTTATCATCACTGCAGGAATCTAGCCATACTAGGGCTATGTCTACACTATGCACCTTTTAGCAACATAGCTGTGCCACTAAAAGGTGTGCTGTATAGCTCCTCTTTGTCAGCAGGAGAGCTCTCCCGCCAACAAAAAAATCCCCTCCTCCCCCAATGAGTGGCGTTAGGAGCAGTCTCCTGCCCACAAAGCACTGTTCACACCAGCACTTTTCGTTGGTAAAACTTTTGTTGCTCAGGGTGGGTGTTTTTTCCCCCCACATCCCTGAATGATAAGTTTTACTGACGAAAGTCCAGTGTAGACAATGCTTAAGGCCTATGCTTTCTAGGCTAGTTGCTGAAATCTTAATCCACAGATGTGTTTTGTCCCAGCCAGACTACTGCAGTTCTGGGTTTGCAGGTCTTCCAATTACTGTTCCTTGGTGGCAACTTCTATAAAACCCAGCAGATCGATTACTGGGCCTACATTTCTCCTTCCAACATACTGCCCCATATTAGACGCACATTCACTGAAATACAGCAAGAGGTAGATTTCAGGCATGCTTAGTTATCAGGTCTTTTAGGCCTCTAAAGAGATCAACACATCAAATTCTCATGTACCCTTATTTTTGTAGATCTCAGGCTCTGCATTTTCCCTTGTTGCCTTTGAGGTGTGACTCTGTAGCATAGGCAGCAGCAAAAAAGAATTGCAATAAGAAGATGGACGAGCACCCACTGTTCAACACCCACCGCACAACAGGTGAGCTGACAGCCTCTGCATTCATAGAAACTCATGCTCTGGAAGGAATAGAAAAGGGTAGTACGACAAATCATGGAGTGCTGGTGGGGGTGTTACATGACCCCTTCTCTTTACAACTGCTAGACTTCCACATGAGGTTACCATTTTGCCAGAATTCTGGTTTCTTTTCTTGTTTGATACCTATCAACAGTTTTCATGTTTTAAGACTATTTTAACTAAGTCTTTAGGGCTTGGACCTTGAAGTCATCACACCCAGGGGAAACTCCCACAGACACTGGTGCTGTGTCTCTCTCAGAGGATAGAGCTGAACTGCAGCATCAGGCCACAGGCCGTCCTCCACAGTCAGCTTCTAGATGGCACCTCTGTCTTCCATACATAGGAACTGACAAGGGGTGAAATCCTGGCCCCACTGAATCAAAGGGTGTTTTGCTATTGACTGCAATGGGGCCAGGATTTAATCTCAGATTCAGATCTCAGGTTCATTTAGGCTGGAGTGACTAACAGCAACGAAGTACACCTCTACCCCAATATAATGCGACCTGAGAGAACATGAATTAGGATATAACGCGGTAAAGCAGTGCTCCGGGGAGGGGGTGGGTGCATGGGCTGCGCGCTCTGGCAGATCAAAGCAAGTTGGATATAATGCGGTTTCACCTATAATGCGGTAAGATTTTTTGGCTCCAGAGGACAGCGTTATATCGGGGTAGAGGTGTACTCACAATCTGGCCCTAAACTGTGAGCAATGCTTCTTGGCTGTGCAATTCTTTATGTATTCAATCCCGAATAAAGGTTGGGATTTAGATCAAGTTTGATTGCACTGGTAAAAAAAAACTGAACTGGAAATTTGCATTGATTGTGTGCACCTAGTGGGGAACAGGCCAGTTTCAGCAAAGCACTCAAACAGGTTCTATTGTATGCACGTGCTTAAGACAGAACCCAAGACGGGATTACAAGCAATATAAAGTCAGATTGTTCTACAAGAACATCATAGCGGTGATTACAGCAGCTGTG